AGTATTACAAAGGCCATTGATCGTTTACTTCGAAATGGGCACTTACCCTCCCTTGAAGAACTCATTAATGATCCGATCGCCCAGTGGGTTGATGGCTAGTTCAGGGATTAAAAGGAAGTCTTGACGTCTAAAAATCCCATAGATTAAAGGAGGGAGTTACTTCAAATGTCCCGCTTTCGAGCGATCTAATGAAACATAACGATTGTAAAGTCGGTGAATTTGTTTGGGTGAAACTAACAAATGAGTGACTAAGAAACCAATAGTTACATCCAGTTTCCTTGGAAATTTCATCGACCTCCTCCACGTCTAGAACTTTTGAAGTGCTGCCACCCATATCGGAGAACTAAGTCACAGAGAATGGCCGGGCACACTTAGAGTTCTTAAAATGCCCGCGAACTGATAACGAGCATTAAAAGAGTTATGCTTTTAGGTAGTAGGTTTGCAGAAACTAAGACAAACGTTCTAGATTGGAGACGAGTTATTTTAATTCGCTGATAAAAGACAAAACCATTTTTGCCCCTTACGTTAGACATAGACATGCCCACCCCATACGCATGACAGAGCTAAGGTGACTGCTGTCAACCTTCCATCTGGTCAACTGCATTAGTCCGGTATGCACAATCTCGAAAACATCATCCTCAACTCTTTTACAACTTTCTGAGCCGGCGTTCACATATCAACCGAAGTCGGCATGGCGTTTACACAGCAATAGCACAAGCCTCTTGTGTGCAACATAATTTGCGTGGGAGGCCGTGCAGCATGTAGGACATCGAAGTCATCTGTCTGAATCTCCGCAAACCCTCCGTCTTAGGAAAGTACACAATGCTTCCAGGAGAATTCTACTACTGCCGTTTGACTGAGAAATAACTTGATTGGGCTTGGAATTTTCTTGAGAGTATGATTTTCCTTTCACGTGTAAAAAGTACCATTTGGTCTCAGTAGTCGACCTATCTTTTTTTCCATACATGCGGTAACGGCAACGTTAAATTTTTCTTGTAGACGCAGAGTTCGTTGCCGACGGAAATTTAGTATAAAATCGCAAATTTGTTCAACCTTCGATGATTGTCTGACAATACATCTCCGTCCCCTGATGAGCTTCTAATTTTCTACTGGCCATAATCTGAACAAAGATATGATGATAAAGTCGGTCATGGTAGAGATCCACACTAATTTACGTCAGATGCCCCGGCGAAATTTCGAAAGCAATGTCCTTTGAGCAACGATGGAGGGCAAAGATATCAATCATACTGCAAGCCGCGAAAAACGACTACCAGCACTTCTAAGCAGACACCTCTGAATAGCATATGATGTGTGATACGATCTAAACTTATTTGGACGAGGTGTTAATTCAGGCACAAATTAAAGGCTTTATTATCAAAACAGGGGAAGACATCCACATGTAATGTGCGTTAGCAAATCTTGGGCTCCACGAATTGCATCCGACCACTAGCACAAGGGTTTGCGTGCCGTAATCCAAACAATATTGCCGAACGCGGTGCCCTTCTCTGAAGGGAACTGAAAAGCCAGAATGAACATAGATGATTTTGTTGTTGGAAACTTTAACATCCCGGATAGAAACTGGTAGGCTTGGGCTGTATAGGGTGCATCGACCAAATTCGGCTGTCATGATTGCACCGCCGTCCGTGACGCAAACCAGTATCCCACCCTGAAGTTGGCGCAAATTTTGTATAAAGTGTTCTGGACATCAACTTTTAGCACTATTTTCGAGGGTCCATCGCGGTACATTGCACCGAAGGTATTCGTTAACATGGCAGAGGTCGTGAAGAGATTGGTCCTTCTCCTGCACTTGACGGACTGCGAAAACCGTGTCGATGGCCTAGCAGCTTTCGCGAAATTCGCTCTGGATTTCTGGGAGAAGTCCCTGCTGTATGTGAGTTTTCCAGACGCTTGAAAACGCCAGTAAAGTTGTTCACGCAATGTTGACTACCGCGATACTTCTGCGATTGTCACACATTTGTTGATTACTGTTGCGCATGCGCATTTGGACGATGGTCCTGTGCTCGGGTTCTTACTGAAGCTGTCCTTTACACCAAGTTTCATGAACAAGTTAGGTCAGCTTGTCCATTACCAAGTGCCGCGGTAGTTGTAGACTTCGCCCGGGATTACATCGAATCCTGGTACTTTCCTTCTGGAAAGCCCTTATTATTTTCTTGGACGGAAGGTGGGAGATCCAAGTAATTGTTGGTTTCTACTAGCCGAGACGGTCAACGGAGCCTCGGTGATCGCGGATTGATGGTTGAGAACGGTTCCGAAGTTGTCGGCCAGACGCTCATAATTTAGTCTCCCACAATAACCAGTGCTATTCCTTCGGAACTTGGATTCGAAGCGATTTCTTCGGCTGAGGACCTTATATCATCCCGAATGACACGAAGAAAATACTTATTTAATTGTTATCCGCGAATCCTTGGGTTTAATCGGCCTTGTAACCGACCTCTGCATTTTGCATTCCCAGCGATAGTTGCTGCATAAACCGGCGACACCTGAAGAAGGTCGGCTTTTGCCTCAATTCCGCGGTGGAAATGGGTTTATGTGGCCTATTCTACTAGACGAGCGGGTCGATGATGCCTACATCGTTGTCATCGGGTTGGTCCTGGTGCAGGCAGTGCGACCTAGAACGTTCACGCCGGTGAAAAGTATTACGTCCCGCAGTTAGAAGCCCTGCGTCTTCATGGTGGCATTGTCATCCGGAGCCTATATTTTCTTCAGGCGCTGGGCTAAATGACTGAACAACCTAAACAGTAAGCAGACGCATCCAACAGAATAGTATTTAACATGCCTGATGGTCTCTTGTGTGATTGCATTCGGAGTCTCATCTAAGAGATGACGAGACGGTGATCCGTTTAGCACTTGGAGTCGCAGACCTCCTTGGCACCGGCACGTCCCATCGAATTCGCCTCCGAACAATAACGTAGTCCCGCAGCCACCGACGATGGAATCGGAAATATATCAGTGTGGAAATCAAAAGGTGTTAGGTAAGAGGATATTATGTTCTGCGCGGGCTTGCATGCAGAGGCTGTTGCCATTTTTACCCCCCCCCCCACCCCCATTGTGTGGCAACCCAGTACTTAGCCACAGGGAGATGTGTCTGTGTCGACGCGGACACTGAAGTCATCAAGGGCAGTCAGCTTATCCGCCTTCGGCACGGACAAGAAGATGACATGCGGGTCATTTCAGAGATTGTTTATCACTTCGCCAGGGCTAGTAACTGTGGAGGTGTAGGTGCCGATGGTGCTGGCGAGTCTTGTTCCCCGAAGAGGCGGACACAGGCCCCATACTTGTAGACCTCAGCAGGGATCGCGTCCGATCCGGGTGCTTTCCCGCTGGAGAGCTGTTGCACAGCACTGATATTTTCATGGAGAAGAGACGGGAGGTCGAGATCCACGTTGGTCTCCACTTGCAGCAAAGGGGTGATGGCGGCGTCGGAGATGGTGGAGGGGCGGTTGAGGACGCCTCGGAAATGCTCGGCCCATCGCTGTAGAATTTGTGTCTTCTCAATGAGTAGGGTATTTCCGTCGGCGCTGAGGAGAGGAGCAGTCCCTTTCATCGGCGGATCGTATACAGTTTTCGTCGCGTAGAAGAAGTTCTTCCATTCGTTGCGGCCAGCGCACTCTTGAATCTCCTCAGCCTTGCGAGTGGTCCAGGCGCCCTGCATCTCGCACAGTTGCTGTTGAACAAGGCGGCAACTACGGTAGAAGGCAACTTTGTTGTCGTCGTTGGGGCGATCGGCGTAGACTTCTTGTAGGCGGTTCTCTTCGGCGAGCAGATTGCCGATAGCAACGTCGTCGTCTTCAAACCAGTCCTGGTGTAGGCGGCGTGCGCAACCAAGGACGGCGAGCGCCGTCGACTTGACCGTGTCTCGCAGTTGACACCAGCGGTTCTCCATGGAGGCGTTCTCGGCAGCGGCGGCGTCCGCGGCGACAGCGGCAGCGACTGGAAAATTGTCTAGCCGTTAAGCTAGCTCATTGCTGAAATGCAGATGGTGAGCGGGCAAAGACAACAAGGCAACATTCAGCTTACCCGGGGGTCGCTTACCTTGTAGTTTCCTGCGAGGCTGTAGACGAGTACGCATCTCTGAGATGACGAGACGATGGTCGGTCCACCCGTCAGCGCCCGCGATCGCCTTTTTCAACAGCACGTCCCGCTGGTCTCACCTCCGGACGAGGACATAGTCCAGAAGGTGCCACTGACGAGACCGAGGATGCCTCCAGGTGGCCTGCTCTCGCTCCGGCAGAAAGAAGAACGTGTTCGTCAGGATGAGGCGGTGTTCTGCGCAGGTGCGGAGGAGTAGCAGGCCATTGTCGTTTGAGCCGCGGAGACCATGGGGACCCAGCACACCTCTCCAGGCAGCATTGTCTGTGCCGACGCGGGCGCTGAAGTCACCAAGGCCAATCAACTTGTCCGCCTTCGACACAGTCGCCAAGAGGGCGTGCAGGTCCCCGTAGATTTCGTATTTTGCGACATCAGGGCTGGACATCGGTGGAGCGTAAACGCTAATGATGGTGGCGAATTTGCTTCCCCAAGGAGGCAGGCGGAGGCTGATTATGCGATCGTTGATGCCCCGCGGCAGACAGGGCAGTTGTCCCACGATGTCATTCCGGTTGGCGAAGGCGACTCGCACGTCCCATCGTTCTGCTCCGGGGTCGAACGCTCCAGATTGTCTAACAGGGAACGAACATTCCAGGCTGCCGAAGTGAACGGAATCACCCTATCAGTCTGGCGAGTGGGGCAGCGGGAAGGAGGAAGGGAGAAAGATAAAGAAGAAGAAGAAGAAGAAGAAGAAGAAGAAGAAGAAGAAGAAGAAGAAGGAATAGAGAGAGTATTTTCGTTGTCGTCGTTGTTGTTCGATTTTCATTGTTTTGACCGTGAGTTTAACGTCTACGACCACGGTCAGCCTGCAGACGTTTTTCCTCAGCAATCTTTAGGGCACCTTTTCCAGCCCCTTCCCTTGCAGGTAAGTAGTGCCACCCTAAATAGGGCAGCTTGGTAGTGCCAGGTGCGGCCGAATTCCACTGCGGGCCATGACTTTGTTGTAGTCGAAGATCGACTCGAATTTGCCTAAAGCTTATGACATTGCCGTAAGATCGTGGTCTCCTGCATTGCACCGGACGGAGCCGCATCTCGACGATGCCGATGCAAAGCTACATCCGACCAACCGCTCAGCGGAGTTCACAACACCGTGTGCGCGGGGCAGGAGCTCACGGGTACCCTCAGCTGGTTTAGCCCGCCGGTCGAGGCGGTTACCGGGGTGTGACCGCTGGATAGAGCGCACCTCCGGGGATTCACAGATGAGAGTTGGGTGTCGGAAAGTGGACGCTAGACGTAGTCTGCGCCTGTAAGCAATTGAGCGACCTGTTAAGACCATCACGTGAACCCACCGCCGGACACCCCTACACCCACTGATGTTGTACTCTAATCTAGTGTGTGCCAACTAGACATACACCCAGCTTCCCAGTTAGCAGCCACGACCAGTCTCCGAAGTAACACATGACTACATTGCTTAAAGTAATTACGTAGAAGTTGGCATTTACCTTTTTCCACTGGCAGACAGCTGCTTGCTATTCGCATGCAATCATGTAAACAATCTCTTTTTCAATTTTACCCTTATCGGTGCATTTTCTTAGACAGTCTATAACCAATAGGAATTTCACAGGTGCTCGCATACCTTTCCCTTAATAAAACAGAATTTAACTGAGCTATGCCTTCCTGCCATCTTTTTCGGCTGGACCACCGTAACAACTCCCCCTTATCGACCGAAATAACAGTTAGTAGTTTAAAACAAGGTGAAGGCACGATCACTGGGCCAGTAGGTTTATTTGCCTGAGCTTTCGAACCCAAACTAGAGTTCATCATCAGAGACTACTCGAGTGCAGCAAATTATGAACATTAATATTGTTTGTCCTTGCGGGGGGGGGGAGGGGGAGTACGTCCGTGGCTAGGTAGGGTTTGTGCCGCCTGGTCCACGATGTTCCCCCGGCGTGGTGACGCCGTTTGTACTTCGCAACGGTGTGAGCTGCGCCACCTGGCCGCGTGGGCGGAGCGCGTGATAACATGCAGGCAACTCGATGTGTCTGTTGATGGATTTGGTGTCCGACACCCACGCCTCCAACAGCTCTCGCCCTGTCTTGTTGCCGGCTCGCGCCAATATCCGCGTGTTGACGAAGTCGAACTCATGCCCTTCCTCGAGCGTGTGAGTGGCTACTTGAGACAGTGGGTCGCCTCTCCGAACGGCCCGTTTGTGCTGAAGTATTCGTAAGCTCAGACGTCGTCCTGTCTGGCCTGTGTAGTGGCAAGGACAGTTTTGGCACGGGATTCGATAGACTACGCCCGACTGTTCACCTGCGTCCAGCCGATCCTTCATTTTCATGATCCTGCTACGCATGGTGGCCGCCGGATGATGAGCGATGCCCATGCCTAGCTCTGACGCAATGCGTTCTGTAGCCTCGGACACATTCTTTATGTATGGTAGGGAGTGCCAAATTGTTGGTGTCTCTCTTCCGTTTGTCCGGCGTGAGTGCGCGCGTATGCAGCGACTGATAAAACTATTTGGGTAGCCGTTCTTTGTTAATTGGTCCCGAAGATGCCGTAGTTCTTGCATCCTTCCTTCGGGCTCGCTACAGTGCGTTTTCACCCGGTCGAACAGCGCCCTCACACAGCCCAGTTTGTGCACCAATGGGTGGTTGCTATGATAGTTGAGGACCTGGGTTGTATTGGTCGCCTTTCTGTACACTGTACTGTTGAGTTCACCGTCAGGTGTACGCGTGACGAGCACGTCCAGGAAGGGTAGTTTCTCGTCCTCCTCGTCTTCTCTTGTAAACTGAATGTCGGGGAATATGCTGTTAAGTAAGTCTTGAAAACCCGATAGCTTGTCCTTTTCAATAAGAACGAATGTATCATCCACGTATCGGCGCCAAAACGCAGGTTTGTAATGGCTGAAAGCAACCTTTTCCAGCTCTTGTAGGACCAATTCCGCAACTAGGCTGGATATGGGGGAACCCATGGGTGTTCCTTTGATTTGTTCGTATGTTCTGCATTCGAAGGTGAAAAAAGTTCGTTGGCAGAATGAAAAGAGCTGCATTAGGTGCTGGATCTTTAGCGGCCCTGTCGTTTCATCGTACTTTTCTTCGAGGCGTTTGCGTAGCACGTCGCGCGCCAAGTCTGGCGGGATGGACGTGAAAAGTGAGACAACGTCGAAGGATACCATGATTTGGTCGGGTTGAATAGTTTTTCCCCGAATGTCGGCAAGGAATTGGGAGGCCGAATTGACGGACGTCACAGAGCTCTCTCGGAGAAAATTGAGCTTTTGGGCCATCCATTTGGCTAAATTGTATGTGGGGCTGCCTTTCAGGGCAACGATTGGCCGCAGAGGAACGTTGGGTTTGTGGATTATTGTTAGTCCGTAGAACCTGGTCAACGCCGTGTCGGTTAGTTTTGTCTGGCCCCATTCGTCCAGCGAGATTACATTGTTGCGCCGGAGTCATCTTAAGAGTCCAGTCAGCTGGCCAATCATCGAGTTGGCCTGCGAGGCGGGTGCGGACCTGTAGGATTGTTGTTGCGTAAGGTATGTTAGCTCGAGGTCATAAACGTAAATGGTAGGAAGGCTATCGAGTTTGCGTTTATGCAAAAATAATGATCACATCACTCAACCTTTTAAAATCCCCTTTAACATATTCTCCAGGGTCATTTCGTACTCGTTCTGCATCTTCTTAGTTTATTCAAACGCTTTTTTGGTGTCACCGATTCTACCAAAGAATCCTCCTTTCTTTGAATTTCCCCGTTTATACTGTCATGGACCTTTCAGAAGTATAGACATGCTTATGGTAGCAGCTGTCATTTATTGACCCGAACGGAATCGCTCTTACTATTCTAGTTAACTACAGATCTTCCAGCTGCAGGCTATTTTTAGCAAAACTTCTTCATGATAACCGCAGGACACGAACATTCGTGACTTCGCCTCCCGGTAGTTCCTTCCCTACAAACCTGATGGATTACAACACTGACTACTTAATCATTCGAATGTCACCTACATTCCCTCTCTTAAACACGCCTTCCTTTGAAATCTTGATGGTTGTGGAAAACAAAACGGATTCCATAAAGCGATGTCTGCTTTCGTTTCGAAGAATGCTGTGCTGTAGACTTTTCTTCAGACAAAACTGAACAGATTGTTAAGAAAGATTGTACCCAATACCGAAATGAACGCCCAAATCTCGGCTTTTGTTGGTACGCATCTGCCCATTATGTTTCTCGTCTGCGCATTAAACTGGCCTTCTTGTTAGAATAATAGTCAGAGTCCGTATGTGACCGGATTTACTGGCAAATCTACAGTGCACTACTGAAAATGAAGATGGACCATGAAATTACCCCATCGGGCTTATCTCATGTATATAGTCGGTCACTCACCAAGCCCATTCACGGACGGCTTGTGCTCTGAACACTAGTCCATCTGATCATAGTAAGCGCCAAACGTTATCAATTGAGTCAGGGCAGTATTCGTCATGATCGGAAATGTCAAAAGTCACTTGGAAGTGGCATTAGCTGGCGTGCCTTTTTCTCCTTTAGTTTATTAAGGATCTAGACCGGACTCCCAAGACTAAACGAGCGACCACATACTCATAAACAAGTCGATGAACATAATTACCACGCGCCTGGTCGACTTTCGATTGGGAATGATGCACTGCTATGCCGGTAGAGGTGGTATGAGTGTAACCAATGAGATTTTTCCCTACCGGGGTGATTTAGGTAAATTTCTTTTGCTTTGTCCGTGTGTTAAAGCCCTCTTTTGCAGTCTCCGTTGTTCACCTCATTGGTTGTCCTTAAGAATTTTGTGTTCCCTGCAGTCTCGGGCATGAGCACACAGAATACGCTGTCTTGCCGTCTACTCGCTAGGCCGTCAGAATAGGAATTTTCACTTTTTCTCGCCACTCGTTGAATTAAACTTTTCCATCAATGTTTCCGCCTGCATATAGAACTGAGTAGAAGAAAATGTATTTTGTGGAATACCCGTCATCGAACGTGCATCAAATCACTCCCAGAGCCGTACCTGGCTGGAGACGATGAGCTAAGTTGTGAGGAGTAAATGACTTTCAATTGTATTTAATGGGGCCTTTTCATAAACTCTGCCATTGACTGTTGCCATTATCCCACTTCCTCTCGTGTCTAAATCATTAGGCAAGAGTTTTCATCTGCCATGCAGACCTTCTCCTCGCGTCGTTAATTAAGATAACTTTGTGGAAGGAAAGAGAGCAGAACATGATCAGGAAGCCACAAGATTTGACCTAGTCACAGTCAGCAACGCTTTCTTATCGGTCGCATAGAAGAGCAATTGAGAAGGAAGAATTGACAGGTCGGCTCAACTGCTAAACACGCGACGCGCACAAGGATGGCCGAGAGTGAAACCGCCTTCATCGAAGTTTAACAGCGAAGTAAGCAGGCTATGGGGTCTAAGGAATGGGCAGCCAAGAACCCTGCAGAGATAATGCCTTCAGGAGTGACAGAAGGACGAAGCGGAAAGACAACTGGCTACAAGTATATTGCAAGCCCAGACGGCACTACATATGACCAATGCTAAGTGTCATTCAGTAAGAAATCCCCGTCACCACCTCCCGGAGTAATGTGACTTCACTCATCTGTCGATCTGGGCAGTGGGCCTCGTCTGTGTCCTATCCTCGCGAATCCAGTAAGACAGGTTATCTCGTTAACTTACAGTGAGTAACCGATCTCATGAATTGCTGGACGGAATTCTGAAATGCGTTTGCGATTAGGAAGGATTTCTTAGGCGGGCTTGTAATATTGATTATCATGCGGCATAATCCTATAATGTTTCAGACTTTACAGGATGGCGGATTTTGAACGCACTCCTTTCCGACCTCCTGCAAAAACCACACTCGGTAAAAAGTGGCTGCCTAAGTAGCATGCATTTTTCCCATTGATTTTCGATGGACTCATAAATCGTAAATATATTTCATAGAAAGCATGTATAAAATATGCCTTCTTTTGCTCATTCGGTACAGAATCACATTGTCTTTACATTTATTCCCCACGGAAGGTTATCGTTCAGTTTTATAAAAGTTTCCAAGCATGAGATATTTAAGACCTTGCAATATCAATTCATACAGCATCGTATCTGTCCGTTTGCCAGTGCTTCTCACGAAATGTACAACATACTCCGCATTCATTTGAAAATTTTACGAGCGTTGCATGATATCGTTTTGTAAGAATAGAGGAATATATTATTCTCCTCACGTGAAGGGCATGCACCTTATAGACTGAAATCGCTAAACGCTGGTGCAACGGCTGACCAGGCTCAGAATTATTTGGAAATCGGGAAACTTTTTTCAAAACCTAAATATACACTTTTTTCGAATATGAAATGTAAAAACAACGTGATTCTCTACCGAATGAGTAAAAGAACGCATATTTTATGCATGTTTTATAAGACCATTGAATATCGCTGTGAAACATCCATGCTACTTAAATAGCCACTTTTACCTAGTGCGGTTTTTACAGGAAATTAATAAGAAGCGCATTCAAAAGCCGGTATTCTGGCATGTCTGAAACATTATAGGATTATACAGCATGATAATCAATCTTGCAACCCCACCTAAGCAATCCTTCCTATTCCAAAGTGCATTTCAGAAGTTCGGCCAACATTTCATGAGATAGGTCACTCACTGTAACTGCTGGCATCGCTGAGCCACGGCTGTTAGTGACTACCGGCTTCCACCGGAGGCCAACTGCGAATTCAGCTGTGCTGCCAGGATGTGGTCTGTTTCACCGACTGTCCTAAAAATTCGGCAAAAAATGAGGACACACTGTGACATGGCGAGTATGGACTACCAAAACGTGTCGAGCTGCGATTTCCCCAAACACCTCATAAAAGTGGAGGTTGATTTGGTCAGACGTAATGAAGCCTGGTTCAAAGAGTCGCATTTGCATAACGACTTTCAGCAAGAGCTTTGGGTTATTCAAATCTCTCGGTAACTGAAGAATTTCGATAGTTTTTACGGAGAACTCAGTGCCAGTTTTCAAAGTCGACAAAAGTCCAACAGAGTACCTTCTTTCGAGTTATTTTCTTTGGAGGTATATAATTTAATATTTGAGAGTAGCTCGCCGATTGTTTAACTCCTATTCAAAAATGCCAAAATTTAGGGAATTGGAAGTCACGTGTTGCCCTATTGCCTCTAGAATTTGCTTTACAGTGGTAAAAAAAACCCGGGGCCTGTAGGGGGCCCCTTACAGTCCTTTAAGACTTGGAAAGCTCTGGAGGTTTTCCCCTTCTTCCTTCGATGTTGTTCTTAACGACGCCCAATTCGTCGGTTTTGTTGCGCGTATCACCACTTTTTCCTGGGAAAATTACAATGAAGTAGTAGAGTCCAGACTTCAGCTCGTCTAACTATAATATTATAATCGCATATCCTTGATTTGGCGAATAAAAAATAACCAGTTAAAAAAGGAGGAGAGTAGACAAAAAACAAAGAGACGAAACTATTATCAATCTTAGAAAATGCTCTTATCTTAGAGTGGATGGGACATTTAACAATGCTCTGCCTAATTACAGAACGGTCTGCGTTACTGCTGCAACTCACTTTCCTATTGTGCCTGGCTGGCTGGTTGGTTAAGAATTTTCCTACCGACAAGTCACTTCACCAGTCGACAACCAGGTCTTTTCCTCCACTGCTGTGTCATTCATCAGCAGAACCTCGGCGAAACGCGTGTCTGGGACTTTAGTTAGTACCCGCGTCGGGAGTATGGCATAATACGTTTGCATATACATTTCATACTTCTCGTAGTATTACTTGTTTGTAGAATGGACACTATGTGGTTATTCAACAGTAGTTGATTGATTTCGACTCAAATGTTCACTGAAATTTCGAGTCTGACTCTATAAAGTCATGTTCCTAAACTTAACTCTGTCACATGACAATAAAACTCCGGCTTATCCCTGAAGGAGGATCAAGCTCTTACTTACCGTAGCGCTCGTGAAAACTGCCTTCGATGAGGGGTCTGACAAGCCCTTCTTAAAGTGATTTGTGCACCGATTATAAGGAAAGACTAGGCGTTGGTTTAGCCTTGTCAACCGCTGAACATATACACACACACTTCCTGACGGCTGAGCTCATTCTTGCCACTAAACAATGTCAATGCTCAAAGAATGCGTGAGCCAGGCGTCGGCAAAGCCTGATAGGTACAAACACCTGTACGTTCAGGTAATGATTATACCCGTGAGACATTGTTAGACTCGGTTGCATGGGATAGTATAGCTATCGATCCTCTGGCAATCCTATAAGACCGCTAATTTAGCTTAAAACAGTGCTTTGCAAGTGACGCAACATCACTTATCGTACATCGCAAGCCCCAAAAGAAATTGACATTTCTCTTTGCTTTACTTTCCATATACGCTATTTATCGCCAAGCGGTGGTGCTAGGGCTATTTCGGCGAAACAATGCCAGATAATTCCTTCCGTCAGCACTGCAATTACTCTGGCTATCCGCACTAGAATTTCGAGAATTAACTGCTTCTTATTCGTACTGAACTATACCAGAGCAAGCTCTGCTAGGCCGGACCAATACAAAAGTGCTAATTTTGACTCTCAGCCATTCTGAAGGTTCATGCAAGGATCGATAAAACAGATCGGCAACACTTCCTTTTCTCCACTCGCATCGGAAAATAACGATTTTCCGGTTATTGATGAAAATCGACCGAGGCCCTCCACTGCGCAGTTACAGCAGCGGCTCGGTCGTCGCCTCGACTATAAAATCGGCGCTGAAATCCTGTCACACCAACCAGCGGACAGCACAGCCTGCAAACACACAGAGAAAAATGAAATTCGTCATCCTCTGCGCTCTCATCGCAGTCGCCTCGGCCCACTACCTCCCATCCTACCATCAGGGAGGCCACATCAGCGGCAAGGCCGCTTTCAGGGGAGACATCTACTTTGATGGCTGCTACGAGACGACCTGCCACAAGGACGGCTTTGATGGCTATGGCTGCAAGGCCGGTCGCTGCGCCTACATCTGTCACCCCAAGGGCTGCTACGAATCCCATGCCTTCTCAGAGACCAGTGCTGAGAGCTGGGGTGAACAGGAGGGCTACGGCAAACGTTTCGAAAAGGGTGGCTCTAAGGGCCAGAGCCAGTACAAGGGTCACGTCCAATTCAGCGGTCGCGTAGACTTCTCCGGCTGCAGCTCGGAACACTGTCACAGTGGTGAGTACGAGGGCTACGACTGCAAGGACGGACACTGCGCCACGGTGTGCAAGGGCAGCGAATGCCACGAGGAGAAGGAGTACGGATACGGATACGGCTACTAAGAATGTTGGGTCGGTTGTGAATAACGGTGAATAAATGGTTGCCATTACCACTCCTTTCTTTTGCGTCGAAGTAGCAGTTTTTACCACTTAATTACCGATAGGGTCTTCGTCCCCAAGCTCTATATCTGAAAAGTGTCGGAATTACGTTATTCGTTTAAGACGAACTTCAGGGACCTTTCCTTTGAGGTGATTACCGTTACAAAACTTTCTAACCAAATAGTAATGATGAGACACCAGAAAGGGGTTTGCTGAAAGGAATAGAAACGTACAATAGTGAGGAGAGCCAATTTTCTTCTTCTTATAATAGAGAGGAAATTATGAAGGACAGTGGCTGTCTCTACTGACTAAGGTATCTTAGACAGACATTGCGGCTGTAAAAGCTCCTTTAGGTCTTCATGAATACTTTGTACAGATGTGAACGTGCCTGGTGTAGCTGGTTCTGATGATGTCGCGACCTTTTCCATGCCTAACGATCTCTTGCGGCGGGATCTGGAGAGCTGGACCTTTTCTCTGCTCTAGCGACAGAGACCAAATGCAAGGGGTCCAGGGAACACTCTCATGTCTCTACGAGCCGTGACGAGCAAGGTTTTGAGTTGATCTCATTTTTGACACCTCCGGGTACGAATGCTTCCTGTCCTCGCCAACCGTTTGCTCGAAGAATTAATACAATGGCTTTGGAAGGTTTCTCACAAACGAAGAATGTCATGAACTTTCATGCTTCATACTCAACTCCAGCCAGGAAGACGCCCTTCACAAAATCTCTCTCCCGACCCCCAACGTGCACTGAAGTATTGGATTGGGTGTATTTGAACTGAAGCTGGTACATCGGAACGATGAGTTGACAAAATAGTAGGCCTAAGTACTGACCGCCCGTCGTCGTAGACAGAACCGTTTGCTTCTCATTCCAACAAAAAATAATAATGTCCAAACTTTCGTGACACCTTGAGGGCGGACTTGGGCAGCATCTGCCACACTCTCTTCTCCCCCACCTGGGTCCCGGGTCAAGACATAGTCAAGAAGACTGGAGGCAGGAAAGGACGCAGATGGCTGGCGCGGCCGGACCCGCACCTAGGCGTACCACCACACCCCCTGATCCACAACAAACACCTGACCAGGATTTTTACCAACAACAACAGCACCACAACGGGTCTGAAAGACGAGGATGGCTGGGTAGCCATGCCCACGACCTGTATGCACCGCGGGAGCGCATGCGTATCTAGCGGCAGGGAGCCAGGTGCCGGAGAACTGCCAGTGCACGCCAGACTGCGAAAGTCGCGTTTCGCTGAGTAATGGCATGATAAATGCTCAAAAACATTGAGGCCCAGGAGGCTGACGCGAAGGCCTATATTTGAACGGGCCACCACCCTTCAAACGCTGGGTAACGAGTCAGTCAGCGACTGAATGGCACTACCCATTAAGTAACACACACCGCTTCTCATACGTGAGAGTGCCATTGACTTTATAGTAAGTATACACAATAGACTTTTCTGATAATAAGCAATTTCGCGATGGCTTACCAACGTCAAGTAATTTGAGCCAAGGCAACTGATGTTCAGGCCGATGAAGCACTTGCCTAAGTGGTTTTCAAAGTCAGGATGCAAAACGCCGCGTCTGTCGGTCACTAACCCCCCTCCCCCCTGAGATAGTGGAAAATCCGAACTCGGCCACTGCACCACCTGGAAGTAGTGTCTTGGTGATCCCTAGTCGTTGGATTTACACTCCCTTTTTATTTATTCCACCACGCTTTTAAATGACCGCTATTTATTCATTAGGTTGCATGTTCTAGACTATGAGCTTGCTGTATTCATATTGATTTCTCAAACAAATCTAGCCTACCGCTTACCCATGGTGGTGTGAATGTTATGAAGCGACGGGTAGTATTTGATAAGCCGTCGAGGAATGTGTTGGCATCAAATTTCTCCTTCTGTATGTGCTTGTTTTAAATACATATGTAGAACAAAATTGATTCAGAACTTGGTGCCCTCCGCCAAAATGAGGCTGGCCAGGGTCAGGTCGCGGAAACTGAGACTCGAGACCAATGCCCAGACGTGATTATGTAGTCCCACCTGACGTAAACAAACCCCAGCCACCTGCAATACGAGACCGGTGGTAATAGGGGGTTTTACAGGTGGGGTCGGGGGGACACACAGGCGATGAGGTCAAGTAGCTGTATGCTATTGGGAATACGCGGTTGCACTTTGAGTGGTTGAGAGAAAGTTGCCCTAAATCCAACCCCGACAGTATTGTGTCCATCAGGTGGGGCTACATAACCACATCCTATCCAATTATCTGACGCAACACTGCCGGTTCAGAACAAATCTGTATACTGACGATCAGTGATTCACATCCGGAATTTCACATTATATGGCGGGTGGGAAGCGAAGGCAAGCTGTTCGGCGTCAGAACTAATGTGGCACCGGCATGACCTACAGTTGACAAGTCATGTCCCGCCGGTGGTTGCACTGCACAACGCAGGAGGCCAATTCTACTTCTAAGCCGCTGGCGATCCAATGCACACAAGCACTTCCCAGATTCGTCGCTCACCTTAATCACAGAACAATTCTGCCGGCAGGTCACGCAGCGGCTGAAATCATTGACTACCGCGAAGAAAAGCGCGCCTGACCTATTAAGGAGAGACGAAAATCTGAGGCTTGTGTAGAATCAGTGTTTTGCTGTCAGACTTATGGCGTTCCTCACTGCCCTGACGGCTCAGGGCTGAGATCGCTTGGAATAATTGCCACCTGAAATCACCGACACGACTAAAAGGGCTCTTGTCGACTTCTACATACGGTTTGAAGACAAACACTACAACGACTGCAGTCAGTGGGACCAAAATGAGATACTTCCGTTTCTGGGTTATGTCGCGGACTAGCCAGTCATTCTACGCCAACGTCCTGTCAGCATAATTTTCGGCTTTTCGAGGAGACGAGGTTGTGTCCACGCACATCCCATTACTACCACAGTGATGCGCGCGTGCGAGGCAGTAGTCTAGAGGGGGCCCATAGTAAGTGAAAAGTCTGTCACCGATCATATGCAGGCAGTTGCCTGTGGGTTGTAATCAGGACCATTGGATTGAAGGGACTGTGGCATCCTAGGTTACTGCAATACAATTCACGCGCCGTCGCGTGGATGGATGAACTATCGACAAACAAGAGTGAACAGCTTTGAGGCAAATATAGATATCCGCGCAGTAACATCATTTGCACCACCCAGTGCATCTACTGAAACTCGTCAGTTGAGGACGCATGTCTCGGCACCACAAATCCGCCGCCACCACAAGGAAGTGCATGGCAATGAGCTAACATTTTTTAAATTGACAAACATCGAAAACATTACATTGAGTGCACATATAAAATAAGAACATTTAACATCATGCAAGACTGAAGGCAAAAGGGACGAATTTGGGAGCTAGAAAAATAGGCTCTGATACAATCAGCAGCGGGTATACTAAGGCCAATAGGATGTTGAAAGACGATAAAAGCGGCAGCAGTTTGCGCCCTGAATTCACCAGTCTACGGGCTGAAGTTCAGACCAACGTGGGCCGGCTTTAATCTTCACGGGTAGAGGCACAGTCATGTTGAATTTTGAGCCGGCCGAAGAAAGGCAACGTCGAAGTGTGCTTGAAAAGCGTGGAGCGGCAGCCGCTGGTCCAACCTAAAAAGAAAAAAGACAGCTGCTAGACCCTGCTGGTAGGACAACTATTTCCGTAAACTTGAAAGGGCCGCATAACAACCTCGTAGATGAGTTCGTCGTGGAGGTGTAGCACCATGTTGCAGAGAGAAAGCTTTGGTGTTTCGCTTGAGGAGAGCAGCTGTTGAACTGCCTTATCCACCTCCAACATACCAGCCTTTACTAGATCTGCGGCACTTCCCTGCACTACGCTGTTAACGGCCTGTCGTTCGGCCTAAGGACGAAAAAGAAAACAGGAACAACGAAAAGATGTTATGGATATTTGAGATATCGAAGACACGCTTGTCTCGAAGGGCAGAATACTGAAAAGACTGGAGCCAGACTGAGCCAAGAAAGCGTCTCCAGAAGAAAAAAGAGGGAGACAAAAAGTCCCTGCGGACGACTACTGCTCAGAATGGACACCTGTTAAAAGTGGAGTCCCACAGGGGTCAGTTCTTGGGCCGCTCATATTCATTATCTATGAAAATGATCTAGTACGGGAAGAGAAATCGGACATAGCGATCTTTGCAGACGATCTTAAACTTTGGAGAGTGATAAAAGATGAAGAAGACGTCAAGCTACTACAAGAGGACGTAGAGAATTTGTACGCATGGAGAGAGAAATGGTGCATGAAATTCAACGTCAAAAATGTGTAGTAATGCACATAGTATCAGCAAGGCGAAGAACAAATACACCCTCACGACAGTATCTCCTGGACAATCAACCACTTAAAACCGTAGATATGCAAAAAAGATCTCGGCGAATTTATCAGAGACGATCTAAGCGTCACCACACAGTGTTGTAAATTCGCACTGCGGGCAATGTCAGTCATGAGTGCGATACGCAGAACGTTTATTAACTTGAATGCTGATTTCTTTAGCAAAGTATATGGGACATTTGTGCGGCCGCACCTGGAATATGCGGTACAGGCTTGGCGGCCGTGACTTCAGAAGGATATAGATAGTCTTGAGGATGTACAACGACGTGCTGTTAAGGCTGTTCATGACCTCAAACGTTTTACGTACGAGCAGCACCTGACGGCCTTGAACCTCTATCCCCTCCACTACAGGCAGGACAGAGGTGAGCTCATAGTAACGTCTCAGTTGCTAAGAGGACATGATCTGGATGTCGACTGGGAAACGCTTTTTGAAATGGCACCCAAGTACGATCTCAGACGACCAGCTTAAAAAGGAACTGTGCCACACAGATCAACGTTTATCCTTTTTTCCCCAGAGGGTCATTCGCCAATGGAATTCTTTGCCGATGTATGTTATTAATTCAACTACCGTGAGTGTGCTCAAAAGACAACTGGACAATCACCTGCTAAAAGG